GAACAAAAGAATTATGAGGAAAAAAAAAATAAGTATTTATAGATAAGTAAACTATATATATTTACTGTGCAAGTAAGAATAGGCAAGTAATATTGTTTTCTCTTTCTAGTATTCGGTATAGCGGAAACACTCGTATTGTCGAGGCTGGCTGACACTGACACTATGGAAGAAGAAAAAGAAACCTCAGGTAAGAAAAAAAATATCGTATTATTATTATTATTATTATTATTATTATTATTATTATTATTATTATTATTAATATTATAGCAATATTAACCGCTACGTGTAATATCTGTAAGTAACAAATACTATATTTGTCTAATTTCAGGCAACTCAAAAGCATCCGGGAGCCGAGGAATCTCAAAGGACAAAGAAGAAGAAGAAGAAGAAGAAGAGCACCGGAAGGGAGGCAGACCATACATAAGAAAGAAAAAGAAGAAGAACAGCAGGCAAGAATCCTTACCCTCCACCTCGCGCTCCTCTCCCTATCCTCCTCCTTCTCCTCCTTCTCCTCCCCCTCCTTCTCCTCCCCCTTCTCCTCCCCCTTCTCCTCCGCCTCGCCCTACCCCTACCCGCCCTCTCCATATATATATTATATATATATATATATATATATATATATATATATATATATATATATGTATATATATATTATATATATATATATATATATATATATATATATATATCGTAGGCTCCACAATATCCGAATAACAGAAAAATAATCCGTATCCGCGCCTAATCGGTGCGGATATCTGGCAACATGAGCAAGTTGGTACGGTATATTGTCTATATCCGAGGGAGAATAGATAGGATAAAGTCCTCCCTGCTCAAATCCCAAGATCTTGGCCAAGCGCGACGAACGAGAAAGCTATCCCGCATGCGGAGTTCTCGTCCAGACAAGACTCTCCCGGGTAGTTTCTAAGAATGCACCTCTCAGTCGCACTATCGTATATTAATTTTTCGTGTAAGCTAAAGTCCGTTGTAATGTACTGACTCCGCGACACGTATTTTAATTCATTCAAAATCCCTCGATTGAGTTCCTCGGCGATTTCTTCCATAGTTTCCGCGAGAAAATTTCTCCTGGGAAGATTTTTCCACAGAAAATGGTACGAAGCCACTCCCCTTTCGACCTGTATTGAATAGAAATTGACGCCGAAGGTTTCATCGTTCTTAACTAACGCGTGAAGATCGCTGGGATAAAGAAGGTTTACTAAAGCTGCTTCGTAGTCGAACTTTTCGTTTAAGTTTAGGGGATCAATTGTATTTTGGAAAGCCGCCGTCTTATTTATCGGAAACCTCGTTGAACTCGGTAATGAGGACAGATAAATGTATGTACTATCTTCACTCGCCATGTCTAGTAAATGAGGAAGAAGAATAACTACAGTTTTATTTATTTTCGCGTGAGATCCACTTAACGGGGTCAAAAAAGGATATTCAATCTCTCTCTCTCTCTCTCTCTCTCTCTCTCTCTCTCTCTCTCTCTCTCTCTCTCTCTCTCTCTCTCTCTCTCTCTCTCTCTCTCTCTCTCTCTCTCTCTCTCGCTCTCTTTCTCTCTCTCTCTCTTTCCCGCTCACGCAAAAAAAAACGTCACTGAGTTGCCCCAAATTATTTTACGGATAATATGTAAAAAGTACTACTGAGTTGCCGTATGTTATTTACTGGACCAATTATTTTCTTTCTCTCTTGTCTCTTTTCATTTCCACATTCTAAAGTGTATATAATCTTTTCTTCTTCTTTGTAATATAATCATCAAATCAGTATTTTTCATAATAAGAGAAAAATGAAAATCGGTATATATTTGTAGTCTTTCAATTATTATTTTTATTGTTATTATTATACTTTTTGCCTTTCCCTATTTTCTAATAAGAAAAAAAATTGCATATTCTTTCATTTGTTCTTTCTTTCTTTTTTAGTATAATTTTTCATAATAAGAGGAAAAGTATATAGTCTTTCAATTATTATACAAATACTTTTTCTTTTATCAAATTCAATAGTCTTTATATTACCTGTAAAAAAATGGGGAATGGTCTAGGATGGAAGGCTGTCGTCCGCCTCGTCCATCTTTTTCTTTTTCTTCTTATTTTCGGCTACTTCGTCATCCTCGTCGTCTTCTATAATTACTACGCTGTCGTCCGCCTCCTCCTCGTCTTCTACAACGATCGTCTTCTCTCTCCATTCTATTGATGATGGTAGAAAATCGTTGTCCTCCTCCTCCTCCTCTTTTTCCTCCCTGTTCCTCTTGCTCTTCCTTTTCTTCTCCTCCTCCTCCGTCATCTTCATCTCTCGCTGTTCTTGTTGTTGCTGTTGCTGCTCCCGTCGCTGTAATGTGTGTAGTAGGAGGAAGGAGGCGTCCCCCCCCCACTATTATTACTTGTTGTTTGGTAGGTCGTGGCTGAGCGGTAAGGCAGTAGTAAGTAAGTGAGATACTGACGTACTCTGAAGATGTTGGTCTGAAGTTAAACTTGTCGCAGTTTTCTTGTCTTTATTCTGGGTAACT